TATCCATATATGTATACACAATTACTTTGTTTCGTATGCTTGTGTATGTTGTATACATATCTGTACACGGTTTGTCATGTACGTGATTCATTGACCGGTGATTAAGTTTATTGTTAGTATCCATTAATAAAAGTTTATAACAATGCCGAAGAGTTACACGTGCAGTTTAACAATGATGATGATGATGATTCAACATATCGTTTAATAAGTATAAAATAAATCATCACTACACTGAATTATTTCAAAATGACAAGAATGGTGACTGTTTCATGTTTTAAGTTTTAACTGTTAGTGAAATAAACAAAATAATAAATTCATTTAAAAAGTCAATATATTATTTTTTGTTACATCTATTTAGTCGATCGTTACCCGCAGACTGTAGTTTGCTTTTGGTTACATAATATATTCATAAAATAAAACATGATTTTAGATTTTGCATCGACCAAAATTACTATTAACGTAAAGCAGTTTTTCCACTGATTTTTTGTATAATCGTTGAGCTAACAGTCTGCTAGCATATTAAGGTATTAAAATGTTTATTTTTGAAAACTAATTTTTAAAAGTTAAACGTTATAATTCACATATAAAGAAAAATAATGTCCTGGACAAATTCTAAGATTTTTTTTTGGACATGTAAACTATTTTTTTTTTTTTTAATCCGTAGATTGGTTGAATGATGAAATTCTCCTCTTCGTCCTCTCATTTGACGACCTTGTATTGGCAGTCCCCACCCGGAGATCCGAATGGGGGACTCTTTACCTCTACAATCATCATCATTTCATCATTATCCTCAGGAAAGTTAATGCAGTAGTTTCCTCTTGCTTTCTGCATCGCAGTTGGTGAGCCATTACTTGAATTATCTTCAAGCTGCCTCCACCATATCCTTCCATTGCCGTTAGTTCTGCTACAAAACTCGCCAATGGTCGGTAGTAGCGGTTGCTGCTTCCCTCCGCTACCTCCTTTTAATCGCCTCTTACGATAAGCAGGAGTTACTGTGGACCTATTCTAACCCCGGACCCACACAGGGAATGTAAACTATATACCTATTTAAAAAATATTTAAGTCTATCCTTTGGCTACTACGAAGTACTAAGATCTAGGAGTTGAATAAATGTATAACCCGTTTTTCAGCTTTCAAATATAATAGTAACAAGATAGGGTCAAGCGGTTAATTGTACACTAAAATGTGAAAAATATTAACGCAATTTAATTAAATAATCAACATTTTTAATAAGTAATAACTAATAACCTTGTAATTTAAAGTTTGAATAAAGCATTATAGTTTAAATATTGAAATATACTTTTTTATTATTAAAATAAATACTTTAACAGCTACAAGGTTATTTAATTATAAATTATATTTTTAATGCATGCATATTTAGTAACTGGTATAGTTAGTTTTAAAAAATAAAACAATAACTAGTAAGTTTGCTTACTAATATGTGCTTGCTTGTTCTTTGTATTGGTAATATAGTAACAAAAAATTACTGACATTGATTTAAAAAAAAAACATTTATAATCGATGCCACTGATTAAGAAAATAGTTATTATCGCATAATTATACAAGCGATTGTTCTCCGACATTGCGAATCGCTTTATTTACTCATTAGACGGACGTTGGTGAGTTTCTTGTGAACACAGCTAAACGTAAAGTAAACATTATCTTGTGATGTTCACTTGGGCGTTAATATTGCAGCCTGTTGCCGGTAAACAATAACGGAATGGCTCCTAAATTGCTTATGTTCTTATAATTTAAACGAAACGTTTGTTACGAGGCTTTACGATTTTTTTCAAACGTGTCACTTTTGGTTTACGGGTACCGCGATGATCGAGACGGGTGTTAATTAGACAGCGCCCATCTTGTGTGTCTGCTCGTCGACATTGCTATATTCTATTGTTTGAATTAAGGAAGTGACCGGATATTTTTTGTTAACGCCGATGTGTGATTGACGTGAAATGACCTTATTTCTTTCAGTCAAGTTCAAATGTCGTCGCGGCCAACACAACTATTAACAACCGCGATTTCGGACGTGCCTGCAATGATATTGTAATATTGTCACTGTTGGCATCCGTACACCGTTCAATCAGTGTATATATTATCCACCTCAGTACCTATATAGCACCTGCTATATTGCCTGGTGTATGATATCCTTTCTAATTATTATTTTATTGTCGTCGCACGAATAGCGTACACCGCGCCGTTGCCCGTCAACAATCAACAGCTGATACCGTCTTAGTCATACAAAGTCATCATTATTATTATAACAGTCACGGATCTGTTGACTGCGACAAAAACAATAATGAAAAAAAACACAATTTGAAACCCATCAACGCAAATTACCAATCGTCCAATTTATTAAACGTGTACGTGATTACCGTATGCCTACCAACCGATTTGGATTTTAAAATCAAATAAAATAATTAATTAGTATTTTTTTTTATATTGTTTGGCAAAGCGCGTGCGTGTTTAATTAAAAAAAAATTATTGTTTTTCTTAAACACCATTTTGTTGAATATTTATTATTCTCATTGTGTTTGTACAGTACGCATGTACCTACTCGGGCGGATGTCGAAGCCATTGCTATTTTTCATTTTGAGTAAACACGAATTTTGTCAACGTTGTTTATTCTTCATCGTCCGATCTGTGTGGGTTGAACTGATTGATTTTTGCCCCAAAACAAAATGACTGCGTGCATCAGTTATGCAAATATTAAAATAATATTATCAAAAAAAACTCCGCTGACGATAACCACTTATTATTCAAAATCTAAGTGGATATTAAATTAGAAAAAATAATGATTTATGTATATTTATAGGCGTCATTGAAGATTTATCTTGTCAATCTCTAAAAACAATGCAAGGATAATAATTTAAAAATGGTCTAAGTTGTAATTAAATCTTTTTTTTAATTAAACCTATTTATAGTTTTTTTTTAATACCAAACAATTCTCGATCTTCTTGTATAACACAATGATAGGATCTGTCACGTTATGCTATATAATTATTTTCAAATTTAAGAGATGTATCAATGTATTAGAATAAAAAGGGGAAATTAAACAGTAATAACCATCTGGTAATTTCCAGAGAAAACAAACACAAAAGCCACAATTTGTCATTTTAAGTTTTAGCTGAATAATTTGAGTTTTCAAAATATATTTATTATATTCTGTGATCATGCTTTTTTTAAATACAAATAAACTTAATTTCAAAAATGAATAAATAATTTATTTATTTGGTTTTGTTTCTTTAATTAATGTGATAATGAATGATAAATTAAAATTATGCCATAAGGTTTTAACTATGGATTTTTTTTCTATGCTAATTTCAATAAAATAAAGATGTATTGTTGCGTAAGAGCATCGGTTGTTATCATAAATTATAAAATAAATCACTGCATATTATTATTATTATTTTTTTTTTAATGTTAGGTTAATGAACCTAATCTAACACAAAAAGGGCAAGGTATGTTGATAGATCTACTACTAATAGTGTATAAGTTAATTGACGTGAGCGTAACATAACAATATACCAATATACTTAGACAGTTTTTTAAATGAATGCCAAATAAAATTTGTGGAATTCGCATAAAAAGGTAATTACAATTAAACAAAGCGTGTAACAATTATGTTGTAAACAAAAACAAATGTTAATACCTTTCCCAAGGTAAATCTGAATATGAAAATACAAAACAGAGCTGTTTGGGTTAGTGAACGCCTGCAAATTACTTGTGTAGTGTGTTTATATATATATGTATATGTGTTTGTGTTGTGGTAATAGATACGTGTCTTTTGCTTGGTTTTTTTAAAGGCATTATGAAAAGTGTTGTTTTCAGGTGGATATTTTTTAACAGAACTCGTCGAAATTGGCAAAAAAAAAATGACTGAAAAAACTACACGTGTTGTCAAAATAATTTGCATTGTTTTATGTTTAGTAACCTACTTTTTCAATGTGGAAATTTCAAATGAGAGAATTTTGTTTGAGGAATTCAAAGGGTGCATGTCGATGAAAAAAGACAGGAACTACTATTCGCAAGTTCTACCCAGACAGGTTAACCCTTTCGTTACTGACAATCTCGTACGAGGATTTAACTTTAAAAATCTAATAAAATATTAACAACGTACTATCATTATCAAACATGTCTTTAAACATAAGTTCTAATTAGTTCATTGATGATAAAAAAATGTACACAGCTATATTGATAATCAATATCAGTCCGATACGTAAAAAATTTGTTGATTTTTTTTCGAAAAATAAAATCCCAGGAACGAAATGGTTAAATTAGAAAAAATGACGTATGCTAGTTAACGGCGTATGCTACATTACAAACGAAGCCGTCTAAATTATGATGATGAGTAAAATATTTTATTCTTCATGGTTAAAATTAAAAACTGAGATAACTAAAAATAGTAATCGTAATAATATGGGATTTTTTAACTAAAATTTCAAGAATGAAATAATGTTATATGAAACAGTACATTTATTTGCCGCCAGAGAGCACTTGCTTTATAAATAAAAAACTTTATTTTATGATTGTCATTAAATGACACTTGGCAGATATATAGGTATATTTGTTTACATTATTCACAAATTTCAATGAATCGATGCTATGGAATTATACATACCTATATATAATTATATAATAATGATAATGTATGTATAACTATAAATAGCTGAAGCAGTTTTATTAGGAGCTCTATTTAAAATCGACTCTTCGGCAATAATAGACACTGAAATATAGTTCTTGTTTATAACAATGTAAACAACAATTTAAAAATATTTTAATTTGTTGTCACATAACATTTTGGATGCGTAATTATCCGTACTATGTGTGTTTTCCATCTCATCAGTAGTTCATTAAGAGTAATCAAAATGACAGTCAACATCTACATGTATATTTAATGCCTTTATGAGATTCTAAGAGTATAATCTATATTATGTTGTGAAAGCGTTTCAATATCGTATCCCACGTCAAAGAACTAACGATTTGTGTTTGTTTTTTAGGACCGAGATTGTACGGTAAAAACCAAAGATTCTCTTTCGAGGAGTACCAAGACTTATTCGCTACTAGAATATCACGAAGTAGAACCGTATTTGCAGTCCAATCCGTACATTACTTCCGGCTATAGAAATAAATTGTCAACGAAAATGTGTTTGGAAAGGTGAGAACTCTTAACTACAAGGTAGTCGTAGATGCGCAAATGAAGATTATTATTCTGGCAAACGTATACCTATTAATGAACAGGGAACTAAAAGATCATAAGGAAATAGCGATAATATTCTTAAATCTTTCATGATTTTATTACACTTGCGGTGACCTTCAGATGTTTAGTTCGTATGTTTCGAACGTGTCATCGACCTTCAACATTACTATTACCTAGTACCTAGTCAAATAATTATTATACGATGTTAATTAAACAAAAACAATGTTTCAATGCTAAATTTTGATGTACCCATAAAGTATAAAAATACCATTTAGGCTGTCGGATAATTGAGCCAATATTCTTGATTCTTCTTATTTACAAAGTTTTGTTTTTAACGGGTAAGTAAAATAGGAATGGTTTCCGGCGCTAATTATTATTTTATAATATTATATAATAAAATATTCGCATAGTATAATTTCATATGAAAATCTAGGTAGCATACTATTTTTTTTTACTTTTCATTGTAATAGTAATTTATTAACGGGTATAAATTAGATACTTACTATTGTTTATTAGGAAACGTATGAGTGTGAGAGATGTTGCTCAAACAGATTAGACTAAGCTAACCAACCCCAACAGGGATTCATAATTCTAGAAAATAAAAACCAAAATAGTTGCAGCTAAACATTGTTTACAATTTGTTTTAGCGTATTTTGGTTGACAAATGAAACCATAAACATATGGTCCCACTTATTCGGTTGGATGTTGTTTTTCGGTTTAACAATCTACGATCTGATGCTGGTGAATATCCGTGCTTCGCCTTTTGACAAAATGGTCGTAGGACTACTACTCGGATGTTTTCAGGTATATAATTTTGATTTTGTTAAAAAAATTGCAATGAACGGAAAATAATAATAACTGTATAAAGTCCAGTTTTACACCTAGTAACAAGAACTGCTTACACCAAAATTACTATGTTTTGTGACAAATTGTGAAGTACATACACACTTGTCTAATGAATTTAATCTAATTATAAGATTTAGTTCAATTTTAATCCTAAAGTAGTTTTAAGTTAGTTTTCAAACCCTTGATTGATTGTAACGTATGAACTGTGACGTCAGATGTGGACCGGACAAACCGGTTATCAGTATCATTTACAATAACGACTAGTATAATAAACAATAATTATATTATACACACTTAAATTCTGATTCACGTCTAAAAATCATGTACTTACATTTTTAAAAGTATAAAAAGACTGATTCGAATTTGTATCAAACCATATCAGAACATAAATTAAAATTATTATATTAATTACACTCCGAATGCGGCACTCTGGACTAGATAGCACATAATTTTGTTTAGAGAAGTTTGATAATTTCCGGTATTTACAGCTGGAGCTTTTTATTTTTTTTTAAATATAAAATATAATATTAAAGTATACAACTTTTTAAAACATTTTTTAAAAGATTCAAAACAGTCGATACTGCCTTTTAGCACCTTTGTAATAAACGCCAAGTCTAATATTGACTGCATTGTGTGTTTAAACCACAATGCTTTAGAACAGCTTTAGAAGACTCACCTACCATTTCTTGCTTATAGGCTACTATTCTAGCAACTTTCAAACTTCAATAGCCTTTATCTCTTTTATTAAATTTCCTACACACACTTCCACACATCATTGCTGGCCTTTCTACAGTTTTATACACTTTTCTTTTAATCTTGCTTCTTTTACCCAATGATGACTGATGTGCTAACCATGGGGAAAATACATATTACGATACATATTACAAGTTGCTCTAACTGAATATTAGGTTGGTCGAATTATTTATTTTGTTACTCCAACTATACATTTATGATGCCTCTATATTAACTATAATATTTTAATGGTTCAACTATATTTTTCCCCATGTGATCTTGATGCATAATATATTATATATATATATAGTATCGTCTTTACTACTCTCATTACTAAACATAAAGTTTAATATTTTTAATTATTATATAATAGTATGGTGGCATTTACGCTATAATGTTATTTTACCCTATCCTATAACACATTTTAATGAATAGTTATTGAAGTACCACTAATTTTTAGATATAAATATTGTGTAATATTTAAATTAGAATTTCGTTATATAATAATTTATGATACATTGTTTAGATTAGCATGGCAATGTCTTCGGTGTACCACACGTTTGGATGCAAATCTGAACAACATTTTCACTGTTTTCTGTCTTTCGATTTGTTTGGTATAGCAATGAGTCTGCTGGCTATTTACTTGTCAGGTGTCTATTACGCCTTTTGGTGTCATCCAGTAAGTGATTTATTGTTCTATGATTTTATTTTAGAAGTAATGTTTATACATTCAAACATTGTGCTATGGGATTTTAGGTTCACCAAACTTTCTACTTAGCGACAGTGCTTGCCATATTTGTGGCTTGTATGGTGTTGCAAATACCAAAGCTCAAAATTAGTGATAACATAAAGATGATCTCGTTTGTATCATGGGCGGCGTATGGAGTAATACCAACATTCCATTGGGTCCTGGTCATGGGAGGATGGGAAAATCCAATAGTCTCCGTAAGTATATAGACATATTTTAGCTAGTATATACAATTAGGTTTCAGGCCAACCAGCATTAATTAAGTAACTCAAAATTGTATTTGATTTTTTACTTGTAAGAATCAACAGTCCCGGTCTCGGAAATTAAAGTGGCAAGATTTTAAACATATTAATAGAAAACTAGAAAATATTTTCTAGTTTTGTATTACAACTATAAATTTATTTTTCTCGTTTTTTTAAGTCATTGTCACTAATTGTTTTGATGGTCAATGACTCCAAGATTAGAAACAATTAAGATTTTTAACTAATTGATTATTAAAGCAAAATTTAAAGTGATATGTTTCAAGCGTCAATGACGTCAGTAACCATTAAATATAATACAACATTTTTAGTTTGTTTAATGCAGTCATTCTAAATAATGCCACCTATATTAATTAAACTTGCTATACATATTAAACTGTTTTGTTGAATAGTGAATTTAATTTACTATAAAGCATTTACAATCTGCATAAACTTATTTTTGACGCGAAAATTATAGGTGCCATCACGTTTTCTTACGGTACCTTGAAAATGTAGTAATATCATTATAACTGCAGTCGAGACATATTAACTTGGAATGTTGGTACCACAAAACATTTGATAATACTTCTATCCAAATAGTGAGACAGTTACATTAAAGCTGGGCCACGTTATTTTTTTTTTAAATAGATTTATTTTAAACATTTAATTAAAAAATAAGTATTTGTTGAATAGTTATTTGAAAAAATAACTGTCATTTTTATCTTAAAGAATCTATGTTTACCTGTGTTACTATTATTACCATCAATGTTAAAAGAAAAATTGTGTTATGTACTATTGTATTGATCTAGTATGCTGTGTCTTATATGGCAACCTATGTTTTAGGCAGCCCGCTTGATTTTTTTAAATAAAGTCTCTCTATTAAATTTTATTCGTGATTTTTTTTCACCACAAAAATAACTTAATAAAACATAGTTCACTGTTTACATACAAAAACGTATACATTACATACTAGTAATATTTTACAAGTACGTTTTTTGTAGTACGTACAAATCAAATTAAAAATTAAATTATTGTAAAAGCAAATTCCGTAGTTAAATTAAAAAATTAAAACTAATTTAATTTCATACTTATTTAATTGTTAAACCCCACCTTTAGAAAAACCATGTTGCATAATATTTTTATTTTATTTTAGTAACATACACCAAACGGCTTTTTATAATTGTGTAAAGACAATAAAGTTTCATTTAAAATACACAAATAACTAAAAAATAAATATAAGTATACATATTATAAAGTAAATTAACGAATAGTGTGGCCTTAACACGAATTTTACAGCATGTATATATCATAAATTATTATAAATTCCATCATATGATTTAGTGGTGCATTTTTGGTAAAATTGGATCTGGTAGTTGGAAGGTAAAACAAATTGTTGAGCCTGGTGTTAGTCGGGACAGAAGAGTATATCTTTTCGATGACTTAGCCTGGGGCTAGTAGCACATAGCCTTGCGAACCTACAACCCCCACGAGTCCTACCCAGTAGCCTTAGATCATAATCATAATAAAGCAATAGCTGAGGTTATTGCGCCGTTTTTCTAGTGATTGTAGTCTAAGAACATTATTAATGGGGCTATAGTCATGAGGCGGGTGTAAAAATGTTTGGCAGTAACCAACAAAACTCAAAAACCTATTCTGCACACGATAATTCTCTGTCTGTCACATGCAAATCTATATAAGGCCGAAAATCTAGGGTAGGGACATAAAGAAATCCAAGAGCTTTTACTTGGCCAATTGACATAACTTTTAGATCAAAATGAGATTTATAAGTCATAAACCATTTTTTTTATATTTTAATTCTTCGTACACCGAAAAAATACATAGTTTTAAAAACTAAGATTATGGTTATTATAAAGGCACAATACATTTATAGTTGGAATAACCAAATAAATAGTTAGACCAACTAGTGTTTAGTAGAGCAACTATTTATTTAGTTATTCTAACTATGCATTTATTATGATTTGTGTCGCTATATTAACTATAACTTTAGATGGCCCAACTATGTATTTCTCCGTAATATGTAAGTTCTCCCAGTTTTCAAAAACATGTGTTACGTCACTTGTATTTACATAATATTTTGTTAATAGAAAACTTTTTTTTCAGAAACTGTTACCGAGAATATTTTATATGTACTTCTTCAGCGGACTAGCCTTCTTAATATACATTACCAAAGTACCAGAACGTTTTTTCAAAGGTAAATAACTATAATAAGTAGCTTACAAGTTGGGGAGTACAAGTAATACTATCTGTATTCACTAATTATTATTAGTTAAGTAACGCTATTTTTTTGGCGTTGTATGCCCTCTGTCACAAACTTGTTTGGATTCAAAAAAAATATTTGTTTAATCTTTTCTTCAACATATTTTAATTTTTAACTTTATCACAACTTTTTTTTTAAATTACATAGCAGCCACTCAGTCTCTTTCCTGTTTTTGTGATATTAGTATTTATTGAATACTTCCAGCTCGAAATTCAAACCTGTAGTGTACAACATAATGCTATATCAACAAAACAAATGAATAAACAATTTCCAATGTTTTAAAAATGTTGTAGTGTGTTGTTTGATTCGAGTAGATTGCTTGGAATTGTTATAGTTTACTTGTAAAAATAATAAATTAGTTAAATATTCTTTACTATATATAACCATAAGTTGCTCAAGTTTTTTCTAGAATTTAATATTCATTCATTAAAACACTGATTTAAAATGTAAATTTATTTCACTAATATTTGTTGGTAGGTTTTTTCTATTCTTTATTTAGGCGTATTTAAAACGATAATTGGCTCAAGGTTAATGTTATACTTTTATTTGACTAGAGATTATTTTTTCTGGGCAATTATTATAATGTTTGGCCCAACACATGTAGTGGAATAATAATACTATTTATATATTTTTCAGGTAGAGTAAATTATTTTGGATCTTCGCACCAATGGTGGCATTTTCTAGTCGTATACGTTTTGTATTATTGGCACAACACTGGCATTCAATACATAGAGTTTAGAATGAACCACGGATGTGCCCATGATTTGCGATTATGATATTTTTTAATAGCAATTGTTATTATTGCTCGATTTTGTGTACACAATCTCTTTAAATTATTGTTTACTATGGCTTGTTTTTCATTTAATTTGCGATGTACTAATCATAATTTGTATATTTCTGATTTAATTTATATAAAACAAATGTATTGTATTGTATTGTATTTTGCTACCACAATAAACGTGCAAAAAACAATTACAATTTTTTATAAAATACCAGTTGTATCTACATTGTGTACTTTACATCATACACAAGTGAATTTTAGTGCATTCATTTAAAGCTAAATTATTAGCGTTTTTATTACGGTTAAAATTGTTAAGATTTTAAATTATTCCTTAGGCCGATTGATGTAATGATACGATATAATTGACACATGTGAATTTTATTGCCTATTCAACACGCCATTAAATGTAGTATTTTCAAAATCTTGATATTGACGTATAGGTGGTAATGTACATTGTACATTGCACCAGACTTTATATGAAAAATAACAAAATACATGTATCAAATTTAAAGAATACGATATTTGTAACATGAAAACTTTTATAAATTAAACAAAAAAATTGTTGTTAAGCTATTTAACTAAATGTTTAAAATAATGAATTGATATTTTACATTTTACAACATAAACTTGTTGTTCATTATTAATATTTTTTAATTTATATATATATATATATATATATATATATATTATAATAATAGTATAACAAGTTATATTATATAATAACACGTTTTGATAATGAAAGTTAGTAGTAAACCTAGACGTGAACTCGATACGTGATAATAATGTTGGCTCTCTTGATGAAAATTTGTAGAAATAATGATTTTTGTGTTTAAACACATGTTATCAATTGAACATACCTTATGACCTTAATAAGACATTTTTAAAACTATTGTCGTGTAAATGTATTTGCTATGATTACATTCATATCCATCAGTTTTAAGAAAGTTATATGCCAATGATTTTGCAGCGGTTTTTATTAAGCGAATAAGGCATTGATATATTATTATCTTATTGAATCTGACATTTGGTACCATTTTTGTCTAAACATTTAAAGTAGTCCTATTAAAGTGAAGTACGTCTTCATTATTTACAAATATATTGTTATACTTGTATATTATTTCATAAATACCTATTTTATGCTTTACTGTGTCGTGTGAGGTACATGATAATTGGTAAAGTACCTATCAATAATTAAAATTTGACTTCGATATTATTTTTTTTTACATTTTGCTTTATAACATTAATGTAATACTTTATACATAATAGGACTATAGTAATCGATTTTATAATATTTATTGTGTAGAATAATAACAGTATTATAATAACTCAAGCAGTATAAAAATGGAAATATCTTAAGATATAAATGTGAGGATACACATTTATAATATTATGAATATCCCAAAATACTAATGCAGATATTCCAAGTATAATATGTTTTATCCCCATATCCGTGGTTACTGTACGGCTGTGGTAGAGAATTCAAGTATGTATTGTGCCTCAAGGGACGTAATATTTTTCGGATTTAGTGAGTGCGACATTTTGAAAAACGATTTATCAAACTTTTCTTTTTTTGTTGCATCCAAATGAATACAAAACTTTCAGGTATATACTTAATATAAGTAATGCTAGCGAATTTTTTTTTTTTTACAAATATATCACTGTCAGCTTAAAACCATCTATAATATTTGCATTATTAAACTAAACCTTATTATGTGTACTATTTTAGACCTATTTATTCTCAAACCATTACTCTTGAGTGTCTTATTCGGTTGTCTAATGTGTTAATATCATTCTCAATAGAAGTGCTCAGTGCTCAAGTGCTCTGATTGATATGTTAAATTATTTCTTCTTACCTAAAACTACTATACTAGTTTATACCGCTTTTATAAATCACATGTTCCCCTTTCTTACTGATAGTTGTGTTCACCTCTCCATTTACTATTCTTCTTAACCAAAATTCTTCGTTTTCCCACTCATTGCTCATCCTACCCGTTCCATCTAGGGCATAAGCACTTACAAAATTCACCGACACTTTTTTATATTTTTTCCATAATCTAAGATATAATATTCTCGTTCAGTATCACTCTAAGTCCTTTCCATTTTGTTAAGTTATTTCGTTAATAAGGCACCATTGCTAACGATAATTTACAAAATTGTATTGCCGATAGAAACTGATTTAACTGATACGTGCAGTATTTTACCGTATACGTTCCTTGCACCTTCAGAGGAGGAGCGGTTATGGTTGCTCATGTTATAAATATTACTATGGGTTTTGTGCCACGTGTGAACCATTGGGTTCGGCCAATGTTATATTATTATACATGATACTTCACTATCGGTGTCACCGGCGTTTGCAGACAATCTAAAAGTTAACCCGAATAGCGTATAGTGCTTACTCGCAAACAGGCATACAAGCACTATATCTTGTAATTATAAAATAACCCATGTTCCGGCGGTGGAGGAGTTTGCGGTGGAGTCGGTGGAAACGCACCTATAAGAGCAGGACGTACGGCTGTAGGTCGAAGAGGGCATCTCGAAGGGAAAACTGCCTCGGCCGCACACCAGTAACTATAGTAACACCCTTCGCATTGAATCCAATTTCTGTTCGGCCGGTTTTATCTCCTAAGCTACCCGTCGCAGCACCGTCCTTCCCCTACTCTCTCGCTCCCTCTCATACACACAATACCGGGCACGCAAGCGCGAGTTTTGGTACTCCGCACCGCCATTTTGTCTTGTTCCCCTTCGTCGCCCCCTCGCCGCATTATAGCCGTCGGTTTTTTTTTATTCTTCTTCTCTCAAAATGATTACCTACTCTTTTTTTCTTCCTCTATGTTTTTTCTTTTTTCTCTGGATATTTTTTGCTATACCAACGCGGCAGGGCGAGACGGGAAGAGCCGCGTCTTTCGCAGCCAGTTTATATTTTGTTATTTTCTTGACTTCTGCGGGTTGTCCCGGATTTTCGAACAATCAATTCTGCGGATAAGGGGCGAAAAAACGGTGGTGAAAAAAACAAGTACACACAATATACACTATATACTATTTTCAAACGTATACAATACTGCGATATCGAAATATAGAGCCGAAAAAGAAATAACGTTAGAAATTATTTTGTACGCATCTCGAACAATAGCGTCCGTTATTATTACAATATTATTGTTACTTAACTTACTATATTATCATACAAACATAAAAAAAACGTTCTAAGAAATTACATTTCGTAATTAATAAATCATTATCCGTACGTTTCGGCTGGGCACAATGTTTAATTTTTAACTTCATTAAAAATACAATATAATTAATTTAGTATTTAATTTTAAATAATGCATAATATAATATATATGCCGCAGAAGTGTTTTACTATGACTCTAACAATTCTTAACACCATTTTGATTATTTTGGAGTTAATGAAACTTTTAGTTAATAAATTAACTAGGTATTAAAATGTACTGTTAATTTATTATTTAGATAAATTGGTTATTTACATAAGTTTACTAATAAAATATAACCAAAATAAAAAAGAGATTGAAATTATTACCTAGGGAGCTTTTACTAGTATTGGCGACTTTTTATTGTTGTCATTACGGCGGCCATGGTTTCGTTATGTCACATTTATATTTTCCTGGTCAAGCTTGAAGTTTAAGGGGCTGGCTCACTAATTCAAATTAAAGCTGGTCAAGTCAGTAATTAATTTACATTTATGTCATTAGTCATTAAGTTAAGTTAAATATCATATTGTTTATTAACAAGTTATGGTAAGTTTATTTAATTTACAAAGTTAATGTTTAGGCACGTAAATCAAGTTTATGGTTAATTAAAAAATTTTAACTAAGTGGTACATAATATTTACTTATATTTCCATTTTAATTAATTATCCATGGAAAATGAAAATTTATAGACAATTAATAATACATAAGCTTAAGAACTTATAATTTGAATTTAATTCGTATTCTTAACTCTAATTTTTACATTGTAATAGTTTTTAAGGGAGGGACTTTAAAAATATAATATATTTACCAAAATAACTATAGTCTATAACGATTTTCCTATATATTGTCTTCACTTTCTAAATATTATATTGTATTTCCTTCTAATAGTTATGTTAATCATTTGTTGGTAGCTATTAGTTTATACTATTGATTGTGTACATATTGTATAATGCATAAACATTAATAATTTATTTAAGTGTTAGATAAGTATTTTTACTTTACTAACTTCGAAAATAATAATTATGGAATAAGGGTGTGACAAAAAAATCAAATGATCTATTAAAGTGTAATTATTGATCTTTATAATCTGTCGCACACACGGAAAAAATTCTGAAGTGACACCGCTGGAAGCTACTATTTTTTTAAGTCTGGAGTAAATGCATTTATTTAAACAATAGATGCGATTTAATATTTTGGATTCTTTATATTTTTTTTTTATAAAACTTTTAAAAAACATTCTCAGTAAACATTTAAAAAATAGATATATATCTACACTCTACAGACTACACGTTCTATCTAAAATTAGTATTAATAAGACATTTGGCTAGAATAACGCGAATATATGATTTGTAGTACACTTTGTACGTCTCGCCTTTAATAGTTATATTTTAAAATATATGCTTAAAATAAAAAATGATTTTTAATTCAACAAGAGCAATATACCTTGTATTATTATTGTACCGAGCTCAGTTATAAGATAAATAATCAAGTTTAAAATGTAGCTTTTATACTAAAATGTTTTTATCGAGTTTATGAAATAATCATGTATCAATTATGCTGTTTTAACGAGGTATGAAAATAACAGGTAGTCAAGTATGGCAAAATGGCGGCGGTTGGCAATAACAATAATATAAAAATCTCTTGGCAGAGTGTTGTGGGTAGTGGCGTGCGAGCGAATTTACTTAAAACGAACGACGACCATTCTGCGGGACTATATAGGCTTATGCTAAATCCTCTTGGTACCTAAGACCTTCACTTATTGCGAAAGCAGTTTTTTCCTCGTCCCAGGTTATATACTCCGGCAGCCTTGCTACACTATTTTATCCGCTCTTCTTCCCCCTGCCCGTCTATTTTCTTTTTTCATTTATCTAATCGATTTAAATCCCGTTGAATAAAAAGCACATTGGTACTAAGTGATATAATATATACGCATAAATAAAACAATACCCAGCCGCACTAATTATTAAGTCGCTGCTGCCATCGTTTTAATGGTTCGGTTTAATTGAAATCGGATAATTTCATTAAAAAAAAAAAATCCATACACACTATACTGATGTTATTATCATAATACAAATTCGAAAAGGGTATATTTCTGTTAATGGCGCTCGTTTGGGGTGTTAAACAAAGCGACGCGTCACCATTAATTCGTTATTAACGGTCCGGCGGGCCTTAACGAACAAATTAATGAATGAGAATATTATGATGTAGGAGTTATAATAATATGGTTATGCATATTATGCTGTGTTGCCTAATGTGTATTATATTGATACGGGGGAAGACTAGTAAACTTATACAATGTAAATAATATACATACATATGGCGATCAGACCCAAGAAAAAATGAATGATTGATAGGTTTCGCCCGTCGTTAATTTTGTAATTGCAATAATAAAAACATTGTTTTTATGATCTGCAGCCAGCAACGAGGGTTAATCTGAATTCTGAACATTGATATAATTAATACAATTCAAAAAATTACATGATGGTTAAATTGTCATTAATTAATTTTATATTCGTACATAGAACGTAATGTTTTCTCATTTTTTTTTTATAAATTAATTACAATTTTAATGAATTTAATAAATTAACTTTTTAATATCCAAAATTATTTAGTTTTTCAACTAACTACGGATTACGATTAGCAAAAAACGTATTTCATGTATTTTCAAATGTCATTCTCGTTGTTCGTACTGTTAAAACGATAAATTTTTGAAATGCAAAAAAATTAATTGGGAAAAATGTTAAATTATTTTATGTCGTTAAGTGTCAAATTTAAAACTTAAACATATTTTCATTTTGGTATTTACTATAATTTAGAGAAGCAGGATATAGGGATTTTTAATATGTAGATTTTTTTTAAAAAACAATTTAGTAGAAAAAAGACACCACTTTGAGGAACAAATATTTTTAAAAAAGATCCAATCGTCTGATAATTATATTGATCTAATAATTAATAAACTAGGTAAATCGTTTTACGAGGTCTCGTTATAAATAAGTTCTGCGGCTTCTTCTTGATTTTAAATATTTATTCTTGATACCAAGCATCCGTTATCTGAATATATTTATATTATTTATGTTATATATGTAAAACTGCTGTTACAGCTGCCACAACTGTATGTAGACATAATAAACTACTTAAAATACATTTTGTTATTAAATTAAAAATTATAATAATGTAAGCAATGTTAACCGTTACACAATTTTTTAACGATTAAATATAAGATACAGCGTAATTAAGTTACGTTGTATATAATTACCCTTTTTCTAAAATATAATAAATTATAATATTGGGGAATGTAATTTAAACGATCATAATATAAAGACTATATATTATGATATTATTATTATTATTGCCTATATTATATTGTATTCCATATTATGTTAGGCTGTGTTCCTGCTAATACTGTTTTGAATACACACGAAATGGATTTAGAAAAAAAAAACGTATAATATTGTAGCATATTATGTGTAATGTATATGCTGTACAAAATACAATTTTCTATTCCACCTGCACAGCCGCTACCATGTAAAGCGTATATACATACGCAATAGATGCCGCTATGAAATACATATTATTTTCATTATTTATATATTATATGTGTAACAATATGATATCCGGGATTTTCTAGGATGCAATAAAAATTTATTCGAAGCCCTTTTCATATTTATTTTTATTATATTTATATACATATGATACATCTATACGCACAGACAATAGTTTTATTTAAATTTTTTTTTTGGAACGTTTTTTCGAGTCGTATTTGTTAGCGGAGTGGTGCAACGATTTCAATATCCTTGTAAGATATTTTTCCTCTGGGCTCAGACAAAACCGAATACAAAACCGTTTACACATGACAGCCCGTCTGGCGCGGTCTTATGTATACAACAACCGTGCGACGTGGGCTCGTGGATTAGGAGTATATATTATTATATCTGTAATATATTACATATGGCACCGTCGTTTTCATATATGTTACCGATAAGTCATGTAGCGGCAATCCAATAGACAATTATTTAGTATACATATTATATGTCCCTACATATACATAATATTATAACGTTCGTTGTAATGGAACTTGGAAGCCAATATGGTATTTAAATCGGTTTTGCAAAACCTTACCCTCCTTAACGCGCAAGAAACTTCTATTAAGACTGTGTTACGGTAAATATTAAAAATATTAATCTTGGGATGCAAATATAAAGTGAAAACCTAATATATTTTAAGTCAATCAAATATGGAGAATATAATAAATGAGTTGATAAAATAGATAAAACAAAATATTTATTATCAAGCGTATTCTTGTATATGCTACATGAAATTAGCCCATTCATTCCTTCTCGATAATGCAGAACTACTGTTTTTCAATAACTCTTACAACAAATTATACAATACAAAATGCACAATCTTCAGAATTTCCGGAACTACGTTCTTGAACGTGCATAAAGCTACATTTCTACAAACAAGGAAGACCCTTAATAAATCTTATAAATCCTCTTAACTATGTCTCGAGTCTACTCCTGCTTACCACTATTCGTATATCCTTTACCACCTTCACCACTTAATTTCCCTATTTTAAACGTGTCCAATCCATGCATTATATTTCTGTTTGCTTCTCTAGGAGAATGTACAAATTTCCTATACTACCTTTGATTAGTCTTATCAACGACTAACTTATGATGAGAATATCTGGAATTAGAAATCCGGGTTTCAGATTTTAATTTGTCTTTGATTCAAGTTAAATAATAATATTACTGTTTTAAATAAAATATATTAGAAACCTAGGCTTTGGAACCAGTTTTATTTTTAGCCTAGATTTAAAAAAAAATCAAATTTGAAAATCCGTATAATCCATTAAATACGGATTTCTGTTTTATGTTTATGTGGTATACTCAGAACTTAAATCTTAATATTAATATTTTTGTTACTTTTATTTCCCTTTTATTTTTCGTGTTGAAACTCACTTTCATACATCTTACGTCTTTGGCTTTGCTTAAAAAAAATGTATTTCCCTCGTAAGAAAGAATGTTTATGTACAAATTGGTAAATGATATAAAAAAACGACGAAAATAATGTAGTCAGATTGGTGAATAGAAGTATGTAACGTACAAAATCAAATGTCTTCCCCCTTTCCTTTTCTTTTCCTTCCTCTACCTTTTGTCATAAAAACGTTATACTCAGGATTTATAAATTTAGGAGAAAAGTTTTAACTTTTAGTGGTCATTTTGAGGATGCCAAGAAGACGTTTCCCGCTTTTAAATCTTAAAACGAAATATTGTTTCCAATCTTTATAACTGTATTAACTATTTTATGTTGCTGTGTTTTTAAAATTTGTTAGGAAATAATTATAATTAAACTTCCAATAATGTGATGGCTACACATACCGTCGAATACAGCTTGTAACACTATAGTAATGTAGTGAGTTAAAGATACACTTTTCCTGATCATAGACCATAATTATTATGTTCCCCAAAGAAAACAAACTCAAATATTCTGTTTCGAAAATGTATGTATTTAAACACTCTTGTATTACAATAAAACGTTGAACAAAAAAAAATATTATACATTCGTCTAACTACATGATTATATTACAAAATAAACTAGTATCGCTGTTCTTAAAACATACACATGTTGTACAGGGTATTTAAAAGTTATAAAGTATAAGTTTGCATCATGTAATTTATGTTTTATAGTATTTTTGAAGTATCCCATAAATTGTAAAAATGTATACTTTAATAAAATGGTATTTTCGGACAAACGAAGTTGTATTAGTGATTATTTTTTAAAACGGGTACATACTTTACTGCAGAGTTGTAAACCATTTATGAAAATCTGAGATCGACTATTAGCTTTCTAACACATTTAATTGAAAAAGCTATAACACGTTGTTAAATCGTACATTTTAATAAAAACCACAATGTTATTATATGATAACTGAAATTATAAACACCCATTACATGTATTTACATAGTATATATACAAAATAAAAACAAAGAAATTATACCTAAATATGTATTAAAAATTACAATATATTATTATAATAATATTATTTTGGACTAGATGGATGATTTCTTTATATTGCCATAAGAATTAAAAAACAAATCTATTAATCGTATACTCTGTACATTAGTTAAAATTATATTTATACACAGGTATAAACAGTATACTATATTATATAGGTAGGCAAGTATTGATTTGTTTTTTGCTATTCGTTTATAGTGAATTCATTTACACGGGAATTTACGGAAAATGCTAAAAACAAATCCCTCTGGTTCTGATCTGGTCTTCGGAAAGAAAAAGAACCAAGTTTAATAAAATAAAATGTTTAATTGTGCGAATTCGACGAAGGAAATAAACGTTTGGTTCAAAAACGTTAATAATTACAGTGACGTGTTTATCATATTTGACTTTGGTCTTTAGTAGATTGAAGTTCGCATTTAATATAACATATATGTACAAGTTCTCGAGGTAATAAACGAGTTTAACACGCCACTGCCTCAATGAAAAAAAAATTCATCGTTTGGTAAGCGGATGACCGAAGGAATAGTGTTCAGAGCATGGCGGCGGCGGCTGATGGGTGCATTTGCGTTAGCTCGTGTTTGACGGTACCGTCCATTTGGTGCTGATGATGTTGATGATCGGTTCCGACAACGTTCATGTTTCCGCCGACGTCTTCTTCCTCCTCATCGTCATCTTCATCGTCATCGTCGCCGTCGTCTTCTTCGTCTCTGTCGTCCATTTCCTCTTTGAAGTCCAACAGGCCTTCAACCGTGTACCGGACGCTTCCTCCGGTCCGCTCTTCACGTCAGACAGGCGTCCTGGTTCCTTCGCTGCCCGAATTACCACCGCCGCCTCCACCACCTCCTCCGCCACCCCCGCCGCCGGCACCCGTTCCGCCGACGCCGTTAGTGCCGCCATACTGGCACGACGAGGACGACGACCGGTTGTTGCCGTTGATAGCGTTCCCGTTGGGTCCCAAGGAACCCGGCGAACCGGCCGGCGGATAGCCACCGAACCCGGAAGCGTGCTGTTTGGCCTTGAGCCGGAGACTAGCGATGCTGCTGGACATGACGTTACAAGGTTCGGCGGGCCGGTGGTGGTACACAGAATACGGCGTGGTGGGCGGACAGTACGGAGGCCCATTCTGTGGCGCGGGAGAGGATAGCATGGAGCCGGTGGCCGACGTGGCCGCGTTGAAACAGTTGACGGGCGCTTGGTGATGATGGTGATTGACCGTACCTAACGGGTTTACTGACCACGGGAATGTTTTCGAGCCCAATGGGCTGGGCACCTGCGGACGGAAAACCTTTTTTTTTTATTCGCTCAGATTTTACGAATGTTTTTTCAAATAATCAATAATATACCTAGTTATTACTATTACTCGATTTGTGTTATAAAAATGAAATACCCGAATATTGTTAAGTATTACAATATTACAACAGGTATTGAGTAACAACTAACGTCTAACACAAATAATATTATTTCCAAACTGATATTTAAAAACTGTAATAATTTTAGCAATAGGGTTCTGTATAATAAATGAGAGTCCAAAGTGGAAATTATCTTTGGAATATTAAGACAAATGAGATGGCGGAATCTTTTTGTCTTGATAGATTTTAAATAAAGACGTAAAGCAGAATTATTCGAACTTTGTTATAAATGTCATAACGACAATTTTTAAGGACACTAATTGGCTGTAATCGAACTCACCTTAGTTGCCCAATTGTTGTATGACGTGTAGGCCGTGCTGTACAGTGAGTCTGTATCAGTAAACGGCTGCATGAGTCCGTTGAACTGCGTGCCGAATCCGTTTTTGAAATCAACGGCCGCGGCCGCCGCCGCATTCATAGCGTTTCTCTCGCGTTTTCGCCACTTAGCTCTTCGATTTTTGAACCATACCTGTTTCAAAAGACAAACATTCAAACAATATTAGTTTTGATAAAACTTTTTTTTTTTATTAAGTCTAACTTTTTAAAATGTATATTGTATTTGAAATACAATTAGATGTTTTATATGAATGGCCTCAATGGTGCAAGAAGGGATATAAGTCCGTTTTTTGAGTATTTTCATTTTGTGGTAGTTTCTAGATTTTGGAAAGAAGTATTAAAGTTCTATGTAAAAAAGGATCTAATACAAAGCATCATTAGGCCGGTGAGCGTTACCTCGTTTTTGGGTTTCATGCGAAAGACTTAGTCTAAGGGTTTTTATGTTCTCAAAACATATCTCGATGGACTTATGTATCTTCTTACACAATACGATTCAAATAAATTATTTTATTTTATTAAAAACGGTTTGAAATTTCTTTGGCTCTTATACATTACTACATAAGCCTTAACGCGTGTATTAATCGTTGTAGGCAATCGATGGTTATAAGCGTTGAACAATGTTTGGGGAAATTGAATCAATACAATTTTGTTATAATAATTACTGTTATAAAATTACTACCGACGCGACGCTTCGTCTAAAACTTGCACGTATTCAGTTGCCGAAATGAAACGTACTTACTATATTTTTTCGTCGATTTACCTATTAACTATATTAACTAAAAATGCCTTCTGACTACATACTACCGTGAAAACAACTATGTTTTTACTGCATTTGCAAATTATAATTTATACACAAGATGTCACGCATCCCTTATTGTGAAATACCCCATACATATATGTATAAGTACAAAAGAACGTAGTTGTTCTGTTTATACATAGCGTAAAAATCTTAAAAAAACGCCACCGAGGAACAAAGACGTTGTACAGTTTATTATTATAATCTATATATATATGTGTATGTATACAATATGAAAGAGGACAGTTCTTCTGCGATGTCATTAATCTTGGAACTGATGGGCCGGCCATAACGCGGCTGCCACCACCACCACCACGACTACTGCTGCTGTTTTGGCAAAGCGTAAAGACCACAGATACCGCCGCCGGTAAATAACGAGCCCGGAGGGCACCCCACGTTGTCAACATCAATCAGAAAGCTCGTTAATCTTTATTACCCTTGCGGGGTCAAACCGTACTGTTAGAGGGGGAAGCACAACACGGGACAAGAGGGGAGGCAAAGAGACTAAACTGGGGCTCTTGGTAGATACAGCCAGTCCACGGTGTGGCGTAAGTCCCGCCCAAAAGTACGCGCACAAAACCGTCACGTCAATTGTGGCTGTTAAACCGAACATAGTGTTCAAATGTGTGTGTAGGTAAGTATGTACCTAACTGATAATCAAGACCATAATATATTAATATAATAATAAAATAAATAATTTACAAAGCTTTTGTAAAGAAACCAAAATATAAACCATTAAGTATAAAATATTAAATGCGCAAGTGTTAAATTTAAAAACACTGCTAAATCTATCTTTTGATGTGTGTACTCATATTTTTGTTTAAATATATTTTAGTTGGTTCAAATTTTAAACATTTATTTCATTAAACGAAAAATTGCAAATGCCGTTTATAATTAATTCAAATACTGAAAATGAGTCTATAGTCTATGTATAAGCAAATACTATGTGAAATTTAAGTCATATTGTTTTGGCTTTCTTGTAAAGTATAAAAAAACTCCATTGAATGCTCACAAGCAAATTCGATAAACATTTCCTTGTAAGTGGCATTTATACAATCAACTAGTTTCGGTAAGGATTTTGAAGTATGAACTATTGGGGACGCATGTTGTAGATATAGATATCTACGAGTTTTGGAGAATTTTCATTTAAAAGTCCAGCAATTAGTTTTAAAAATAAGGAAAAACACTGCTCTTAAATTGTTGAGATTTTTTATTTGAATTCTTTTGTCTTCTGTTTCAACAAGATATTTGGCATAAATACTGTTAAAATGGTTATCCAATTTTTTCTACTTAATGTATTTTTGATGGTGAAGTCAGATTTAGTCAATCAAGTTACTTTAAAAAATTACTTATAAAACTTTCATCTATTTCAATACAAAAACTTCGTAAAAGTCAATATTTTGCACAATATGATACTTAATTTTAAAATTATAAAACATAACAAATTATCGAATTATAGACGAAGGGATCTAAACATATACCTCAATTTAAACAAAATGAACTATAACCCTAGTATTTATGTTGAAAAGCAAACGATGCATTGTTCACAGGTTAAAACGAGATAGGTACTACGTTTTTTTTGTTATTATTTACTCTGTAGGCACAATAAAAATACCTAAGGGTTGGTATGGTATTTCCCTCAACGCAACCGTCTTAGAACCAAAGGTTTCATACCGTGTGGTCATGTTAGTGTTTGTCGGGTAAACAAACGAAAACAACTTAGAACTGATTGCATAAGAACCTACCCTCACAGTATAGGTTGACTTGTAAATCTGCATCTGTACATGTAGGTACATATATAACTAACAATGTTTTATAAATATAATAGAAGTTTAAGAATACTATAAGAGTAGCTTTTGTATTTGTTATGTATAATTGCAAATTGAAATATGTAATTTTTTATCCGCAATCAAATTACAGTAGACAAAATAATAGATTATTATTATGCGTTTACAACGAAATTGTCCTTTATCAAATCGAAAGAGGAGAGAAAAATTACATATATTTTTTTTATTATATTCAATGTATAGTCAAACATTCGATGTTTTAGAAAATACATTTTTTAATATTATCTTAAAATTTCTGCGTGATAACTTTTTTTTAAAGGTATCATTTTGATAAAATGGTATACGTCGTTTGTCTAAAATGTTGTCCTCTTTAAATTTCACTATAGGTGTTTTTGCGCGAAAATCATCTAGGCTCGAGTAAAACGCATTTTGCGAGTAAGGTTTTTACGCAAGAAACTTTAGAGTATAACGTCGTCTTGAGATAAAGAAGCTGATGAAATATCTTAGTATTGTCAGTTTTGCAACTTTTTGAAGGGTTTTCCTTTAAGGGAAAAACTAACGATTTTTATTACTAGTTAGTGCTATTAATCCCTATTAAAGAGCTGTATATAATGTATAGGATTATCATAATAGCATAATATACTATGTCTGTTCATTTTACAAAACCGAATAAATATAAATTATGCCTTTCCGATGACGCGAGATATTTACATATGGATAACAACAGTTTTTGGCGGCCAATTTTTCATTTACGCCGGATTATCGACGGCACAACCAATATTACAATAACGACTATTGGGCGTAAATATCAAACGACATTTATAATGCGCACTTTCTCCCTCTCTCTCTCTCTCTCTCTAGATTACGTGAAATATATATTTCATAATACACGCAAACGCTAGCGTTAATTTAAACAGATTTAACGCATTAAAAATATTTTATACACACACATATTTTTTGCATTAAATTATTATTGCTATTATAATATACTGCGCGGCCACGATACAATAGTAATAACAAATAACAATAATAATAACGTGTATGCATGGGGTTAAACGACGGCACGTGCAGATGAAGTAAAATATCGAAAAACACCCGGGAACCGTTTTAAATCTCGTCGGGTCATAAATTGATTCTTTTTGTCAAAACCGAGGGGGGGACGAACGGACGGGGGCCTGAGGGCAGGCGGAACCTTATCCCGGTCGTTGGGCGCATACTCGCGATACATAATAATAGTATACACTAGTAAGTATAGCTACTGCACGGGTTGATCGATTAACAACGCCTATTAATCCGCCTGATGGTGGCAATCCGACCGCATTTGTGTATCATCAATATCATTATTATGTTTAAATACTAACTATGATGACCTTAGGTTTTCGTACGATTTACTTGTATAAAACCGGCTAGAAAATATCATGGACCTAATTATCTATAATATAGTATATAATCTACATAATTCTTAAGACACTTGCAACTCCTATGTCAATTGAGACAAGACAATTATATGGACGATGATTAAGCTGCATTTTTTTTTTTTATAAAAGAGCTTATATGGGTTTTTATACTAAGTGTATAATTTTTAATAAAAACGGCATGATTTTTTTTCGAAAAAGATTAAGTGAACAACAATGTTTAACAAAATACAAACATAAAATAATGTCTGATTACTGAAATTAGGGACAACTTCATTATAATCAAAATATAGTTTTTACACTATTTGATCAGATATGTTCGCGTTTTTTGTAAAAACACACAAAAACGATTAGCCAAGTCCAATGATTTTATAGTACCTATTTTTAAAACACATGTGAAGCTATCAATATATTTAACAAAGTATTTTAATAAAGTACCTATGTATAAAAAATTAGTAAGCTGTAAATGTAAAAAATTGCACTTTTGATACAATTTACTCTTTTTCTCATAAAAATAAACATACCATGATTAATTCATTGCAGTATTACAACGCTATAATTTGTTTTGTTTTAAGTGATCTGTTCACCAGGCGATGACAAATATATATGTCTAAATAGTGAATTCTGTTTATAGATCTATCTTTTCGATTTACTCCCCACGCATACAACTATTAACATATGTGAATGTATTAAACATCTGTTCAGGTGTTTTATTAAATTTTACAGCAAATTAATCACTTCTTGATGCAATGAAAAAACCGTTGACTATGTAATAATATTAACTAATATTATGTTACAACATGTTAAGGTTATAAACAAATGTGTGTAAATATTTTCTAACGACACCGTTATATGACTTTATGAGTCAAATAAAATATCAAGAGAAGTAATGATAATTTTTTAACATAAAATAATAACGAATCATAATATTTGTTAATTAAGTATAATTATTTCACGCGTGTCGTGGCCTTTTACAACCTTCATGTAAGCAAAATACATAGATAGGTATTATAATATATAACATATATATATATATATATCATATACATATATATAATATACTGATTAGCAAAACGGTAAATTAATGAAAAACAAGATGTAAATTATTAGCTTTAAACGGAATAAAACTATGAGT